GGTGGTACACTATACACAAAAAGACCTCCTTGATTTTGCTAACATGTACAGACAGAAACCTGGAGAATATGTATGGGAATAGCTACTGAGGATGTGGGATAAAGGTGCAAGGAATGTAAGATTGGATTGGTCGAGTTTATTGATTTAGGCCCATTAAGTACAGATTCTTCATTCAATGCTTCAGCTTGAGAGATTAGGAAAGGATCTAACAGTTCATTTGGTTGGCTCAATGAAGCACGGATTATGTGGCGGCCTACCTCAAGTTGAAGTACCACACATGCCTTGGTATAATGTAGAAGAAGGAATTCAGAGGCTTAGGGAAATTGGCCTGCTAGAATGGATTTATCAGATTAGACCCCTAGAGCCAGAAATGGAGAGTACAGAAGACATGCCTTTCACCAGTACCATGAGGAATAAATTTGTGAAGGGAGCTCCACTATCCTTGAAGACTGCTGTGATTGCTATTTTATGTAAACCTGATTTGACAGTGGGAACTCCCTAATTGAACTAAGACACTTAACTACAATGGGGCTGATTGGACCCCATGGTAGTAGTGGCCAAGCGGCAGCAGTTAATCGACAAAGGCAAGGTGGGTGTGATTACCATAATGGACAAAGTCAGAACAGTAATCAGAATAGTCTAACTCATGTGGATTTATGGCATTGGCTACTTCCTCATGGTGTACCTAGTAGTGAAAAACATGGCAAGCCTATTAAATATTTACTTGATCTGTATAGACAGAAGTAGTCTAGGTCACATGAACAACAACCTAGATTGAATCACCAGAATACAGAGTCACGACCTCTCTATCAATTCCCAGACTTGAGTCAGTTTAGAGACCCACAACCCCTTGAATGAAGGGGAGGCCAAGTTCTTTTAAGGAAGGACCCCACTACACTGCCAAAAATCTATGTCAGTCTTTCTCCTAGCCTTCCGCAAAGGGATCTGAGGCCTTTTACGAGAGTGACTGTTCACTGGGGAAAAGGAAATAATCAGACTTTTGGGGAATTACCGGACACTGGCTCTGAATTGACACTAATTCCAGGAGACCCAAAGCATCATTGTAGCCCACCAGTAAGAGTGGGGGCATATGGAGGTCAAGTTACTGATGGAGTCTTAGCCGAGGTGTGTCTCACAGTGGGTCCAGAGGGTCCCCAAAACCATCCTGTAGTGATTTCCCCAGTGCCAGAATGCATAATTGGAATACATATACTCAACAACTGGCAGAATTCCCACATTGGCTCTCTGACAGGTAAATTAAAGGCTATTATGGTAGGAAATCCAAGTGGAAGCCATTAGAACTGCCTCTACCTACAAAAATAGTAAACCAAAAGCAATACTGCATCCCTGGAGGGGTTGGAGAGACTACTACCACAATCAAGGACTTGAAGGATGCAGGGGTTGTGATTCCCACCACATCCCCATTTAATTCACCCATTTGGCCTGTGCAAAAAACAGATGGATCTTGGAGAATGACAGTAGATTATCGTGAACTTAATCAGGTGGTGACTCCAACTGCAGCTGCTGTTCCTGATGTGGTTTCATCGCTTGAGCAAATTAGTACATCTCCTGGTACTTGGTATGCAGCTATTGATCTGGCCAATGCCTTTTTCTTGATACCAATTTCAAAAGACCATCAGAAGCAGTTTGCCTTCAGCTGGCAAGGCCAACAGTATACTTTCACAGTCCTTGCTCAGGGGTATATCAACTCTGCGGCACTATGTCATAATTTAGTCCGTAGGGATCTTGATCACCTTTCCCTTCCACAAAACATTACTCTGGTCCATTATACTGATGACATTATGCTGACTGGACCTAGTAAAGAAGAAGTATCAATGACTCTAGACTTATTGGTGAGACATATCAGTACTAAAGGTTGGGAAATTAACCTAATGAAAATTCAGACACCTTCCACCTCAGTGAAATTTCTAGGAGTCCAATGGTATGGGGCATGTTGAGATATTCCTACTAAAGAGAAGGATAAGTTATTGTATCTGGCTTCCCCAACAACTAAAAAGGAGGCACAACGTCTGGTGGGTCTCTTTGGATTTTGGACGCAACATATCCCTCATTTGGGTGTGTTGCTGCAGCCTATTTATTCAAGTGACTCAGAAAGCTGCTAGTTTTGAGTAGGTCCTAGAAAAACAGAAGGCTCTGCAACAGGTTCAGGCTGCCGTGCAGGCTGCTCTGCCACTTGGGCCATATGATCCGGCTGATCCCATGGTGCCTGAAGTGTCTTGTAGTAGAGATGCTAGTTGGAGTCTTTGGCAGGTCCCTATTGGAGAATTGCAACATGGACCCTTGGGGTTTTGGAGCAAAGCCCTGCCATCCTCTGCAGATAACTACTCTCCTTTTGAGAAACAGCTTTTGGCTTGTTACTGGGCTTTAGTAGAGACTGAACACCTAACCATGGGCCACCAAGTCACCATGAGGCCTGAGCTGCCCATCATGAACTGGGTGTTGTCTGACCCACAGAGTCATAAAGTTGGATGTGCACAGGGGCACTCCATCATTAAATGGAAGTGGTACATCAGAGATCGGGCTCGAGCAAGACCTAAAGGCACAAGTAAGTTGCATGAGGAAGTGGCCTAAATGCCTATGGTCTCCATCCCAGTCACATTACCTTCCCTGTCCCACTCTGCACCTATGGCCTCATGAGGAGTTCCTTATGATCAGTTGACTGAGGAAGAGAAAACTCGTGCTTGGTTTACAGATGGTTCTGCGCGATATGCAGGCACCACTCGAAAGTGGACAGCAGCGGCACTACAGCTCCTTTCTGGGACTTCCTTAAAGGACAGTGGTGAAGGGAAATCCTCCCAATGGGCAGAACTTCAAGCCGTGCATGTAACTGTTCACTTTGCATGGAACAAGAAATGGCCAGATGTGCGATTATACAGGGATTCATGGGCTATAGCTAATGGCTTAGCTGGATGGTCTGGGACTTGGAAGGAGCATGATTGGAAGACTGGTGATAAGGTGTATGGGGAAGAGGCATGTGGATAGATCTCTCTGAATGGGCCAAAGGAGGAAAGGTATTTGTGTTGCATGTGAATGCCCACAAAAAAGTGACCTTGGCAGAGGAGGACTTTAACAATCAGGTGGATAGGATGACACATTCAGTGGAAACCAGCCATCCTTTTTCCCCGGTTACTCCTGTCATTGCTCAATGGGCTCATGAACAAAGTGGCCATGGCGGCAGGGACGGAGGTTATGCATGGGCTCAGCAACATGGTCTCCCACTTACCAAGGCTGATTTGGCTACTGCCACTGCTGAGTTCTCAATCTATCAACAGCAGAGACCAACACTGAGTTTGCAATATGGAACCATTCCTCAGGGTGATCAGCCAGCAATCTGGTGTCAGGATGATTACATTTGACCATTTCCATCATGGAAAGGAAAGCATTTTGTTCTTGCTGGAATAGATACTTATTCTGGATAAGGATTCACCTTCCCTGCACGCAATGCTTCTGCTAAAACTACCATCCATGGACTTACAGAATGCCTTATCCAGCGTCATGGTATCCCACATAGCATTGATTTGGACCAAAGGGACTCATTTCACAGCAAATGAAGTGCAGAATTGGGCTTATGCTCATGGAAATCACTGGTCTTACCATGTTCCCCATCATCCTGAAGCAGCTGGCTTAGATAGAACAATGGAATGGCCTCTTAAAAACACAAATACAGCACCAGCTAGGTGCCAACACTTTGAAGGGTTGGAGCAATGTTCTCCAAGAGGCTTTATATGCTCTAAACCAGCGCCCAATTTTTGCTTCCTGTCCCTGCTACTCTATGCTCTGAGGGTCTGGAGATCTTAGTCCCAAAAGGAGGAACACTCCCACCTGGAGACACAATACTGATTACACTGAACTGGAAATTAAGAATGCCACCTGGCCATTTTGGCTTCCTCATGCCCTGGATCAACAGACAAAGAAGGGCATGACTGTACTATCTAGTGTGATAGATTCTGATTAACAAGGGGAAATTGGGTTGGCTTTACATAATAGAAGTGAAGAAGAGTATGTCTGGAATACAGGAGATTCTTTAGGACATCTCTTAGTACTACCATGCCCTGTGATTAAAGTCAATGGAAAATTATAGCAACCCAATTCTGGTATGACTGCTAACAGCCCAGACCCTTCAGGAATGAAGGTCTGGGTTACCCCACCAGGCAAAGAACCATGACCAGTTGAGGTGTTTGCTGAGGGCAAGGGAAATACAGAATGGGTGGTGTAAGAAGTTAGTTCTGAATATCAGCTACGACCATGTGACCAGCTGCAGAAACGAGGACTGTGATTATTATATTTCTTCATTGTATATGTGCATCAAATATTTTTGTTTCCTTCTGTTATGAACTGTGAAATGTAAATAAGGTTAATGCATTTTGGTTGTATGTGTGTTTGCACATCATGTTAGGCACAAATATGACTTTATACTTGTCACCATGAGTCGGAATCAACCCAACAGCAACAGGTTTTGTTTTTTGGTTTTTTTCATACCCATTTCTACTCTTTTTACAGGAAGGATATAGCTATGAACTTACTCTCAATTAACCAAACCAACAATATAATTTCACCATTGGTATAAACAATATAGCAGAAGAGAGGTTAAATAACATAAAATATATCAAAACTTTATGTTCTACTTGAAAGATGATACAGGAACCTTAAGGGGTAATGAATTTATGTGAATGAGTGAGGAACAACTCAGAAAAGGAGGATAAGATTGGTTGCACAACTAGAAGAATGTAATCAATGTGACTAAATTGTACATGTAGAAACTGTGGAATGGGTATATGTTTTAATGTGTATATTTTCAACAACAACGAAATTAAAATTTAAAGACAAAAACTCTTCATACTCTACTTTTGAGTATCTTTACTTCTTATTCTAATGCAGTTTGTTAGATTACTTTTTTTTTGTCAGTTATACTTACCTTATTCCAAACTTTCACATTAAATACCAATGTGTTCAAAATCACACACACAAAAATATCATACCATATGTCCTTCGGCTCGAGCTTTATTCTGCATAGCTTCCCGTTTTCGCTGTAGAAACTCTTCTACTTGTTTGGCTCTTTCCACAGACAGTTGTCCTTTTTGCCTAAGTAATTTGGACAAACCACAAAGCCAGTCATTGTGAACATTAAACACTGCAAAAGTTTAAAACTATACTTACTCTAAATACTTTTTTTGATTGCAGAACATGAAGGAAGACTGATATGAAATAAAATCTTTCTCTGTAATGAAGAAATAACTACATATTTATTGGCATTAACTACTAAATCACAATCTTTACAATTTTAATTAAAAGTAAAATCTATAACAGTACTCCAAATCTTGACAATAAGGTTTCTCTTATATTTATTTGATCTATATATTCTAGTTTGGGAGCTCTGGTAGCATAGTGCCTAAGGCACTTGACTGCTAACCAAAAGGCTGGCGGTTCAAACCCACAGCCACTCCTTGGAAGGAAGGTTGGGCAATCCTACTTCCGTAGTGATACTGCCTCGGAAACCCAAGGAGGGGTCGCTATGAGTCGGGGCCGACTCGACGGCAAACAACAACAACAACAACAACAACAAAGAACACGAACTTCCGACAGCTTTTCTTTGGGGCTATCACAATGAGTTATGCTATGAATAATCCATGAAATAATATCTTATTTACTTTCCAGTAAGATTTAAATCTTTGTGATTTTCATGTCTCCAATAATCATTATTTCCTTTACATTTATATCAACTACAACAAACTGAAACAAACAACAAAAATAAAAACATCTTAAATATAAAAGTAAGCTTTCGAAACTTGAAATCTGTAACACCACAAAGCTATGAATGACAGCAGTTTAAAGGTCATTTATCTTACAAGGTATTTTAAAGAAATTCTTATGAAATTTCTATCATTGGAAACTTCTAAGATTAGATCATCTCTTTAGCTAGTCTAAGGATCTCTTCTTTTGACTCTCAGATATGTCTGGGTAATTAACTCTTAAACAAGTTCCACCCGAGCCACGTTAGCTTGAGCAAATTGAAAGTAATAAAGGAGAATTGTTTTCATGTCTCCATACTACAAATTCATAAGGTTTTCCCTGGCCAATTCTTTCAGAAGTGGACGGCCTCTTCCTTCTTCCTAGTCTGTCTCAGTCTATAAACTGGCTGTTACCT